AACCCTTTACAGACTTTACAATAATGTACAGAAAGTAAAACAAGACAAGGGCTTACCACTCTCAACTTATTTAACCATGATTATTTACAGAAAGTGAAATACTAGGACGAAATAAACCTGGTCTCATATAATAATTAATAGCCCAACGTTGACAGCTTCATAATTGTTTTTATTTGTTTAGCAGCCCTATTTCTCTCTATAATGTACGAGTTGGCGAAATCTCATGAATTGAGTAATTACATAAAATATTTGTAACAAGCTGACAATTACATTTTTACAACAAAGTGTTGGCTTTGAAAACATGTGTAAGTGTAACGGATGTTTAGTAATTATGTTAGTCTTAGTTCAAATCAGTTTAGAGTCAGAGTTAAAAATAGCGTTTGAATTCTGATCAACGTTTAATTAATAAATACTAAATGGGTATGACAGCCATCAAATACAAAGTGTTCAAAGTTTAGATTATTACATGTGTTTTTCTCATCCAAGTAAACTATTTAAAAAAATAATTCATCATCTCCTTCTGTAATGTTATGGTCGTCGATGTTGCAAGCTACAAGAACAAAACAAGCACCCTTCAGAAACGCGAACTAATTATTTTCTCACGAGTGCCGTCCCATTCTTCACAAAATACAAAGTAAAAAAAACTTTGCAGGAGATTACGTCCCCTGAAGGAACATCGTTTTATTAACTGTTTGATCTCCTCTTAATGTCGAGGATTTAATTACTTAAATTCGTCGAGCTGTTAGTGTCTTTAACGCCCTGATTATTAATTATTTTTTTTATAGCAAAATCAAATCTGAAAAATCTTAAATTTTCAAATTAATGAACATTTTTCTTGCACTTTCAATCTCACGATCAGCTTAATCAATGTGTTTTAATTAACGTCACATATTAGCTGGGTCAATGTCTTAGAAAAAATTAATTGTAGCCAAAACAAGTCATGAACTGATGCATTTAGCTGCATTGTTAATATAAAAATAAAATGACTTTATGTGCTTATTTGTCGCAATTAAATAGTAATGTATCGTGCACATATAGCCTACATATCTACACATTGCTTAATTTGGATTTATATTTACAACGTTGTTGAAATTTTTGTTGTTGATGGATTTGAAGACAGTCATTATGAAGGAGTTGCTTATAAATAAAAACCTAGTTTTGACACTAATCTACATCAGCAACAAGGCAACTAAACAAATCAAGTGCAAGTTGTCATATCAAATTGGTGCAGAACTATTGTTTCGTATCTTCAGCCGAAAAATCTTTTTCCGAGTAGTCACTTCATATCATACGTGTCTCCATTCGCATCCGCTTCTGATCCTGCTAAATTTGCAAAACATTTTCCAATCATTCGTTTGGTATTTTTAAATTGAAACGATATCCGATTTCATTTGATTAATAAGTTTGTCTTCCACACTGAAACAAATCCGTTCATGAATTGTTAACACTTTCGAGTTAACTTCAGCAATCTAGGATGAGACACGGCGGGTAATATTACATGTAATTTACCTTCTGAAGAAACATATTTAGTTTCTAAACCTGTCTACAGCGGAATTAATCTGACATTAATATGCCATTTTTTGTGCCTCACAACATAGACTCAACCAATTGATATTTTGATTAATACAATAAAAATCTAACGAATGCGGGGTATTTCGAGCAAAGAAATAAAACGTTACAGTTTTTGTAGTCACGCTATAGGTCAACCAAACCAGCGTCAGATAGTTATAAACATTTTAACGCCAACTTGTGTAGTGGTCAACTAGATCTAGTAATAGTTGCCAAAAGCAACCGTTTTGCTTGTATGTTTCATCCTCATCTTACCTTCTCTCCATCTTTGCCACCCCCCTCCACCCTTTCTCTGTATGTTTCTTATCTTCTCCCCATCTTTGCCAATCCACCCCATCCCGTCTCTGTATGTTTCCTCCTCCCTATCTACTCTCCATCTTTGCTAATCGCATCCCTAACCCCCTTCTCTGTATGTTTCCTAATCGTCTTACCTTCTCTCCATTGTTGCTAATCGCACCCCTAACCCCCCTTCTCTATATGTTTTCTCCTCGCCTTACTATCTCTCTATCTTTGCTAATCACCCCCCCCCCTTTATCTTAATTATTGCCCTATGACAACTCCAGAAACGGAAATGAGTTTTCTTTGTACACCTCGCTCAATCCCATTTCCGTGGCATTAAGTCATAATGATTTTCTCGAGGTCCTCGTGTTTCATCAGCCTCAGCTGTGTTAGACTCCATGTAGGCAGATATAAACAAGTGCTTAATAAACACCACATATAAAACTACCTAGCAACACACGAATAATATATATATATATATATATATATATATATATATATATATATATATATATATATATATATATATATATATATATATATATAGAACCCAGAGTTGGCCGTCTATGTTTCGATAATCTTGGCCGTCTTCGTTAATTGATACCTTAATATTGGCCATCTTCGTTAATTGATACCTCAATATTGGCCATCTTCGTTAATTGATACCCCAATCTTGGCCATCAAGGTTTAGCTAGTGACGCACATGGCCCAGCATTGACCTTCTATGCTTGCTGATATACTTTAGTCGTCTGTGTTAGGTTTATGGCTTTAGCCGTCTGTACTTGTTTAGATACTTTGGCCGTCTATGTTTGGTTTATGGCTATAGCCGTCTATACTTGTTTGGATACTTTAGACGTCTGTGTTCATTTAGTGGTTTCACTGTGTTGTTAGCGTAGTTGCCTTAGATGTGCTATGTGTGGTATATGGTACTCACGCTGTAGGTATGTAACTCGAGTAAGATAAGAGGTACTGTGGTTAAATAGAGGGGGAGGGGGTCAGAACTTAACACCTGACTTCACAGGAGGCTCGGCGGTTAGGAGCCGTGTGGAGTGGTGGGTTCGGATCCCATTTGGCTAAAACGACTCTGTCTTTTCTGTGACTATATCGTGTGCTTGCGTCTAACTTTGGCATTGCAATAATACTTTCTGTCTACATTGCAATGATTTGAGACGCACTGCATATAATATGCAACAACTGAACTTCATATTTTAGCTTGTCTATCCTTGACCTTTTGTTTTAAAGTTAGCTTTTAGAAAACCCCGACACACGGGAGTGCATCAAGGGACGTAATCTCCCCACTGTTGACATTTTGATGAGAGTTATCCGCCTTAGTCTGTCATCGCTAATTGACGGGGATTTGTTATGGTGAGAGCCGTCACACAACATAGAAGGTCGATTAGAATAGGCTTTTATTTTGTATGGAAGTAGAGTTGAGGTAAATAACATTGAGATCACATACTGGAGTTGATGTTTTACGAGTGCGAGCGCAGTCGCATAGCTAGAGCGTGGAGCGGCCGCCCCAGGCGCCAACGCTAAAGGGCGCCAAAAGGGCTAGAAAAAAACTAAAAAGCTCAATTTAAGCTGGGGTATTGAATTATACCAAAAGTTCAGAAAGTAAACGGCTACTAGGATTAAACACTGATTTAAATTATTTTCTACATCAGCTGTGTGGTACCTAGATAAAAACTTCTACGGGATATTGACTGGTAAAAAGTACCACCAACCTTTCCGAGTGAGGGAGGGGGGGGGGGGAGGCGCTTTATCACAAACTTGAAAACTATATAGAAATACGAGGGGCGAAAATGAATAAATATCCCGGGTGCCAGAGTGGGTCGTTACCCCTGTGTGGGGGTGGGTGGGGAGCGAGGAGCGGGGAATTGAGGTTGTTAACGGGAGGGGGGGGGGGGGAGGTTTAAAAATGGTGTCCTATATGTAGCTACTAATGATAGCGGTCTGTTCGCGACCTCAAACTCGTTGAGGGGAAATGAAAATTTAAAAGTAATGTTGAGACAGTGTATTACAAGGGAAGGGGAGGGGGAAATGAGAAGGTGGTGGCGATGGGATAAAGGCGATTGACGGGGGTAGAGGTGGTGTCAAAAGCTGTAACATGTTTCTTGAATTAGTAGTTGTAAGGTTCATGGGGAAAATGTAGGATTAAAATCCTAAAAGAAACTCGAAGGTAATTATTATATGACGGTCTATAGTGTAATGAAGTAAAGTTTACCTGTGTCTGCGACCTCGGCATTATGAAAGGGATTAGGTGGTCATCACTATGTCCAGCTGCCTTTACTTTTCCAAACTTGAGTTTGTTACCCATCAGTGCTGGGTAGACTGAGGGCCGTTTTACTCGAGACTTTCGGGTTAGCATTCTAGTGCTGTACCGCTGATTCACACCGTTCCTTCAGTGTGTTGTTAATATGTAAAATCGTATTATTATTTTTTAATGGTTATTTTAGGAGAATCGGTTGAAATCATGTTTAAAGGTGGCCTTTTTTGACGAGCTGTAGTAATTTAAATATAGTGTGTGGATGGGGGAGGAATTCCATTAAAATAAACGCAAATTGAATAACATTGAAGGACGAAAGCATACCTGCCACTACAATGTCAAATAGAAGGTAATGAATTTGATACCGACTCATCGATGTATCCCTCACATAACATGTCCGTAGTTTCCTTGCATCGCTTTCTCGGCATTATTCTGGAGCTTAGATATTATAAACGTCACTTATTTTAGCAAATTCCAAACATGCTTTTCATTTTAAGTTTTTTTTCAAAATCCTGTCCCCCATTCGTGTCACAATAAAACATTGTTATGACTTTTGTGTACATTCCCGGCATGCTTTGATTGGTAAGTGTGCTGGGCGTACGCTGTGTGTCGATGTTGAAACTGATGTGTGCTCTACAAATGCCTACACATACAGTGACCTTTGAACTCTTGGATGTGCTGGTATTAGCTGTCAGTCAAGGTTGGGGAGGGGAGTGGTCCGCAGGAAGTAACACTGGGATAAGCGTGTTTGGGGAGAGCTTTACTCTCAAGAAAAATAAAAGCTAGCTTGTTGTTTTATTCCATGTTGAGTTCTTTTATATTTTTATTTATTTGTTATTAAAATATTTACAACATTTGAACTTTAGTTTATCTAATAGATACAAAGATTACTAGATAAAACATGACCTTATATGTTTGATATTATTATCAAGCGATGCGACGTATTCTCATGATGTCATATGTGTAGGTGATGTCAATCTGTCAAAAATAAATCTCATAAGCTTGTGATGGCATTCGCTCCTTTGATGTCATTTATTAATGCGAAGATTTATGGTACTGATGTTGTTGACGTAATGTTATCTTCTTCTGTTTTTTTTTTTCAGGTCAATTTTGAAATGTTTTGTTTGAAGCTAAAATAACGTATGTTTATTACATTCCATATACAATACAGATAGACGACAGCTTACATAGGATGTCACTGACATTACATTTGACATGGGATTCGAATTCCATATGACATCTTTTACATAATAAACCAATGTACCAATATCGAATGCCATCTGGCATGGGATGTACTGCTACATGACGTCTGATATAGGATGTCACTGTCAGATGACATCTGACATGGGATGTCAACGCTGCTTGTCACCTTACATAGGATTCGCACCAAGACACACATACGGGATCTCAAACTCTGAATTGTTGACATTCTCTGTGACGTTGGTAAACAGGACCAAGTTGTCCACGGGCGCTTGAAAGAAACAAAAACAAGATGATGATCAAAGGGAAGAAACTAAATAAATACAATGGTTTTATATGGTCACTGGTTTCTGTCCCCTTGTTAAATTTCTTTTATTCGCATTTGTATTTAAATGAAAATTCAAAAATAAAGAAAAATTGCCATTTTGTTTTAGCTTAAAGGGAAGTAGATAAGAAAATGTTTTTCTTTTTATTTCTTTGGTTATTTCCCTTATTTAAACATATTTTAACAAAGTAATCCTATCTGTATCCATTTAAAATAAAGCTTCATATGTTCGATTATAAGGAAAATATTTGTTTATTATCTTGGTTCGCTCAGCAGGCATAATAATATAAACAAAATACATCGTTTTACAACGTTATTCTAGGGTTTTAAGGGGAAAACTGGAGTCAGATTATACCTTCGATCTCATATTAAACACATGATTCATGGTTTGTTAATAATATATATATATATATATATATATATATATATATATATATATATATATATATATATATATATATATATATATATATATATATATATATATATATATATATATATATATATATATATATATATATATATATATATATATATATATATATATATATAGCAGCCTATGTTAAAAACTAAGCAGTTATTTTTAATATTCGCAAATGTAAACTGCATGTAGTCGGGCCTATTTAACAAAGTAACCCTTGAAGTATAAATGAGCTTGATACATAATTAGATTGTTAAATGTTTTGCTTAAGTGCAGCACAGCAGTGTGCCTAAAAACTAAGAATATTAACGACGAATCAAACTATTTTATTTTATTTTCCCACAGCCATATAACACTTCAAAACAAGCAATATCTCGAGCTATAAACCTAGGCACCGGCTATTTTAACATACGCTTTACTTTCAAACAATCCATTACGTATTAAAAAATAAATTGTTTAGAATATTTATTGAAGTTGAATCCTAAATCTAGAATAAACTACAAATAACTTTTTTACAATAAATTATTCATAGATCTATTTTCCCTTCAATAAGAAGGATAAAAATAGTTGCATAGTTCCATTAGCGTCTAATGCTGATAATAAAAAGAGATATCTGTGAATATAGCCGAGGATATTGTATGCGCTCTTTGCCAGATGTATGAAAGGAATGTTTCTATAACTCATAAGATGAAGTCTATGTGTGTATGACGTCAATAAATGTCGATATTTTTGAGATGGAATGTATGTGTGTATGACGTCTATTAAATGAAAGCAATGTTTCTCTAACGCCATAAGATGAAATCTATGTGTGTATGGCGTCAATAAATGGCTATATTTCCAAGAAGTCTTTGAGATTTATATGTTTCCATAACGTTTTTGAGATGGAATGTATGTGTGTATGACGTCTACTAAATGAAAGCAATGTTTCTATAACGTCTATAAACGGCTATATTTCCAATACGTCTTTGAATTGTCAATGTTTCCTTAACGTCGTAAGATGAAATCTATGTGTATGACGTCTATTAAATGAAAGCAAGCAATATTTCCATGACGTATGTGAGGCAGCAATGTTTCTATAACGTCATAAGATGAAATATTGTGTGTATGACGTCTATTAAATGAAAGCAAGCTGTGTTTCCTTAACGTCTTAAGATGAAATCTATGTGTATGACGTCTATTAGATGAAAGCAAGCAATGTTTCCATGACGTCATAAAATCAAATCTGTATGACGTCTATTAGATGAAAGCAAGCAATGTTTCCATGACGTCATAAAATAAAATCTATGTATATGACGTCTATTAGATGAAAACCAGCAATATTTCCATGACGACTATGAGACAGCGCTGACGTCCGTGAAAAAGGCTTGAAAGGTCGACGAAAAGTGGCAATTGTGTACATACCACTGCGGGAATCAGGGGAGATTAGCCGGATCAATGCCGTGGTCGATAGAGTGATCGCCCCTGTCGACTATTGCGCGATCACCAGGGGCATTACGCAAGGAAACGATCAGAGCGACCCTCTCGGTATGGTAAATATGGTTAGCTGTCATCAATAGGTTCGTAGATGATGTAAGGAGGGGGGGGGGGGGGGGTACTCGTATAGAATGGGGGAGGGTACTCAAAAGGGGATGCTTTTAGTCCAAGTATTGATCAACTAGATTCTAGATGATACAAATGTATTAGGGGTGAGAGTGATTTGTTTCAGTACCTTGCGATAATTCTTTGTTGAGGTCTAGAGTTCATTCGTTAAAATTAGGGCGTAGTGGATAATTTTTATTCGTGGGGTGGGGGGAACGAAGGGTGGGGGGAGGGAGGTGGCGTGGGGTGTTAAATCCAGAGTACACTACAATGCAGAAATTCTCACCACAATGCTTAAAGCAGAAAAAAATCACATTATGGGTAAGTACTGATTGTTCCTTACAAGCAAGCATTGTTTTCAATTGTTCATTATGGTTGGAATAGTTGTTTGCTGATGTGTGCTAAAATGGTTCTACTCAAGTCTACCTAACAGGGTTCTATCATACTACTGGGGGCACTAAACTTGATACCCTACGGGCTCTATCAAACTACTGGGGGCCCTAAACTTGATACCCTACGGGCTCTATCATACTACTGGGGGCCCTAAACTTGATACCCAAAGGGGCTCTGTTACACAACAGAGCACAAAAACCTGCTTACCAAATGAGCCCCACCCAACAGGGCACCAAAAACCTGCTATCCAAATGTGCCCAACCAAATAGGGCACCAAAAACCTGCTACCCAACGGTATCCTGAAAATGCCGAGCCTTCAAATCTCTCGATATAACGTGGCTCCGATACAACTTGTAGCCGAATCTCTCCGAGAACCCATATCCCATAATGCCGTTATTTTTTCCCTGTTCCTGATCTCGTCTGGCGCTAATCAAATAACCCACCCCTGTCCCGAGTGTTGTTGCACCCGTCAACACAACACAACAACATTTCATCAAAAGGACATTGAACCCCCTCACCCCCGCATTCTAGAAACATCGGCATAAATAACACGGGGTCATTATGACCCAACATCTTCACGCTAGTCAGGGCGGGGATATGGCGGCGTTAGATATAAAACAAAGGACCAGCGTCACAATCCAATAAAGAAAAAGAGTTACATAAAAAAACGGACTGCCGATTACATTACAAATTATAGACCCTAACAACAGTCAAACAAAGACCTGATTCACGATCACATCAATGGATCCTTGTGTAGTGCCGACGCCAGGTTATTAAGCGCCCTAGGCAAAACTTATTAAAAGCGTCCCCGTATTATCAAAGGCGTAGCGACCCTTCCCGGCGCCCGGGGACAAACTTTCGATTTGCTGCCCCTCCCCCTCAAACTTTTGATTTGCACCCTTCAAACTTTCAATTTGTTTTTCCAACCCATTTTGGCGCCCCCCTACGGACAGCGCCCTAGGCGACCACCTAGTTCGCCTTATAGGTAGCGCCGGCCCTGTCCATGTGACAAATGATACCTCTGTCAAACAAGGAAAATAGTCACAAGTAAAAATAGCAACCCAAAAACCACTTAACTAATGAACCCGAATTAGATTTAGAATGTTGACCTACCCACAATCAGATAAAGGACCATAGCAAAAATCATTGAAGATTTTTTTTATAAAAAGATACAGGCAACAATCAAAACAAATAGTTTAGCCGACACCAAATAACTTATACGAGTCACAATCAAATAAATGATATGAGCCAAAATAAATGAAAATGATCCGAGCCACAATTTTACCGCCCCCCCCCCCCCCCGAACGAAATGAAATTTATATAATTTATATAGAAAATCTATACTTTTAACAGTGTCCGCCCCCCCCCCCCCCAAAGAAACACCCCCCCCCACCCCCCGAACGAAATGAAATTTATATAATTTATATAGAAAATATATACTTTTAACAGTGTCCGCCGCCGAAGAAAGTCTACCGCCCCCCCCCCCCCCCTCGGAGAAAAAAGTCTGGAAAAAACACTGATCATACTAGCCACAATCAAATGAATAAATGATCTGAGCCACAACAAATAAATAATCCGAGCCTCAATCAAAAAAGGTCCCACCCCCCACCCCCCCAAAAAAAAATAAACAAAAAAATAACGGGATGAAGCTAAAGTAACCAACCTCCACCCATCGTGCCAGCTATATGCTCCATGATGGGCACGCAGTTGTCCTTGGTCACCATGATGGTCATCTCAATGTTGCGGTTTTGATCCGTGCGGCGAAAATACCAGGCGTCGAAGTTGGCCTGGTTGGCGAACAGACCGAGGTAAGAGTTGCCCAGGTAGGTGGAGTCAGCTGAAACAGGTAAAAACACACAGTGTGAGGTGATAATACAGATTAGGATAGGGGACGGTGTGGTCTAACGGTAGAGCGCTAAACTGTTAACTAGAAAATATAGAAAATGATTACGGGAAAGCGTGGCGTAGCGGTAGAGAGCTAGACTGCTAACCCACAAGTCTTGAGTTCAAATCTGGGTTCAAGTCAGTAAAACGTCCCTGAGTCCACCCAACTCTGATGGGTACCTAACTCACGTTAGGAAAAGAAAACAACGGCTGGGCATAGTGCTGACCACACTATCTCTTCATATGCCAAGGTCACAGAAACAAGTTAACTTTACTTCACTTATCCTATGATTCGTCATGTTCGAAATCGGTAGTTAAATTTTGTTTTTACAGATAAAGATCTATAATCTTATAATTTTTTTTTTTTTGCGTAAAGATTATTTACTACTTATCGGTTGTCCGTACCAAATTTAACTAACTTGAAATGTAAAAATATTATTTTAGCTCTAACAATAACAACTTACCATACATCTCAACCTAACGCAACCAAAGTATATCCCTTACGTATAAACCAAACGTAATAATAAAACTGTGCCCCAAATGTATACAATAACTTAAAAACATTGTTGATTCCTGTTTCTGATCATCATTCAAGGTACTGGACTGTGCTGTTCTAATGTTTGAATCTTGATGGTGAGTCTATGGGGGTGGGTACGGCTAACCGAATTGGTCACGTTGACTCCTACCTGGCATACAAGGCTCCAACATGCCAGAGGTTATGGGACTCGTTTCACATGTCCCAGCTTGGATCATGTACTGTTTGCCCTGGGGATGTGAGGGGGATAGTGTGAGGGGAAGGGGGTGTGTGAGGGGAGGGTGATAGGTATGGGGGAGGGTGATATGTGAAGGGGTGATAGATGATGTGAGGGTGATACGTTTGAGGTCAGGGTGATAGGTGTGGGGGAGGGGGAGGGTGTTATGTAAGGGGGAGGATGATAGATGGTGTTACGGTGATAGGTTTTAGGTGAGGGTGATGTGTGAGTTATGTGATATAATGATAGGTTTTAGGTGAGGGTGATGTGTGAGTTATGTGATATAATGATATGAGTAAGATACATGATGTAGCTGTGATGTGTGTGGGGGAGGGTGATATGTGTGAGATGAGTGTGATGTAAGGGTATGAGTAAGATATGTGATGTATTTCTGATGTGTGTGGGGGAAGTGATATGTGTGAGATGTGTGTGATGTAAGGGTATGAGTAAGATATGTGATGTAGCTGTGATGTGTGTGGGGTGAGTGATATGTGTGAGATGTGTGTGATGTAGTGATATGAGTAAGATGTGTTATGCAGCTGTGATGTGAGCGTCTGGTTGTTTTGGGAGTGTGATGTGATGTTTTGAGGTTAAGTTGGGATAGTGAGGTTGTTGTGATGATATTGTAAGATTAATGTAAGGGTGATGTGAAAGTTATGTGAGGTTTTTCGTCATACTACAGTGATGTTACAGAGGTGTTAAAGTGATGTGCTGAAGAGAGGCTATTTTGTTGATGTTTATATATAATTGATGTGGACATTTAGTTAGAAGTAACGACGTCAGTCTGTTCTTTTGATTTAGACAATTTAGTCTTGTAAAAAATTGAGATGTAAATATTTACACTCATTTACACTCACCTTTTTTCAAAACAATTTAAAAAAATAGTGTTAAATATGTCAAAAAGATTATGCAAATGATATTTTCCTCTAAGTATTGTATAAATTAATGTTTTTGAAATTTTACTTCGTTATTTTTCTCTGGTTCATAAACAACAAAGGGTAAATAACCCTGCGTCAAAGATACCAAAACTACGACATTATCTCCCCTGACTGATATGAAACATACACTATTTATCCGGCAGATAGAAGCGAGAATTATGCAGTCCATTTACATTTTTATAATCCAAAATGAGCCGGAAAAGTGTTTGTTCTATGCCGGTTTCCGTGAAGGTTGCCTGTTCGTGGACTTGAATTCTCGCCTCCCAGTTCCTGTAGAGTCGGGTAACTTGCTGAAAGAGAGGATGTTGTTTCAAACGTTAGGGACATGAAATGGTGGTCCAAGTTGGTGGAAGATAATAGTGTGTTTAATTTTAAACGATATGGACAAACATACTCGGTTAAGAATGCTAAATAATAACATACAACATATATAGATAGTAATTTATTGAATATGTCACCTTAACAGCAAATATCCATACAAATATTACGACATGAGGACATATTGATACATATTTATATATTAAGGGCTTTTACCATATGCACATAAAAACCATACACACACCCACAGCACACATCTTACAATGGACAGCACACATAACCACATGGACAGCACACATAACTACAGGAACAGCACACATCGGCACATTAAAATATTTTGGTAATTGTAGCTAAAAGACAATGAAGTCAAATGGGTGTAAAGAAAAGCGGGTAGTTTTGCTAAAAACAACATACACAGTATACATACACAATTACATTCACACACACACACACTCACACACACACATACACACACACACACACATACACACACACGCACACACACACACACACACACACACATATATATATATATATATATATATATATATATATATATATATATATATATATATATATATATATATATATATATATATATATATTATATATATATATATATATATATATATATATATATATATATATATGAATGGCCCATCTGGCAATGATATATTGTTACGGGTCATTTGTAGGTTAGACTAGAATAGGATAGAATGATCTAGAATTAGGGGAGAGTGAGTGTGTGAGTTGAGTTTACCCTAGAATATTGGTAACCCCGGTGTGTTTGTGTATTGTTATCCCAAGGTCGAATGCGGTATAAAAGCTGGAGTGAATGGTTGTCAGGGGTTAGTTGGTAGTGGTTAGGTCGGGGGCTATTCTGTAATGTGATATGTGAGACCTAATAAACGTATTGAACGTCAAACCGAGTTTTCTTGAATTCGAATCTAACTTGGACGTAATATATATCCAGCCAACACTTCACATTTCCTCCACCCTCCTCCCGCCCGCCCCCACGATATTACAGTCGATGGCTAATTCTATAGAAGACGTTGAGCAAACTTTAACCCGGAAGTGGATCAATACAAATGATCTGACGGTTCCATATCTGTGTGGTGTAGATTACTTCTTTGGTTCGTTTTTCTTCGTTCGCCACCAGACTGTCTTCGATCGCCGTGAATCATGGCGGCCCCCGTCCTTAACCAAAAACCACTTCTTGAATGGGTCTTTGTTAAACGTAAAGGTACCTTAACCTTAACCCTCGTATAAACCTTTGTTCTGCAAAATCAATCATTTAAGTATCGCGATAAGATGGTTAAACTATCAATACAAGGATTGATGTGAAAGCTTAAACTCTAGGGCTAACCTTTAATCCAGTAGATCAATCATTTTTATATTGATTTAACTATCGCAGTTTTGAATAAACTTAAAGTCGTGGTGTCCTACAATGGAACGTAACCTTTAGAAAATAACGTTGGCCATTTATCGAATAAACAAAACTAATGTGAACCTGACCTTTATAAGACATTTTCTGTTTTTTTATTTGCAAAATATCGTGTCAAAATCACACCATCAGAGGAGTTTGAATGTCCGTTTCGTGAGAGTTGTGTTAATTTACCCGCTTTTCCCAACTGCCATATGCCAGATTTAATGCACATTTGAAACTCTGTCAGAACAGTTTTATCTGGCAAGCTTTGTGTACACCAGGGATCTCCAAACTTTTCAGTCCTAGGGCCGCATCAACTATCAAATTTCAGTTCGGGGGGCCAGTTTCTTCCAGGCATGTCTTTGATTTTTCTGGGCAAAGTTCCTCAGCCATCACCAACAAACGTTTTTTTCCGTGGACAAAAAGATCTCCGCGGGCCGGATGATAGGACCTCGAGGGCCCGCGGGCCGTAGTTTGGAGACCCCTGGTGTACACTAACACCAACACGGGTAAAATAAAAACTCTTCACTAGAAAAAAAGCGCCTGAAGATTTTTATTATTAACACGTTTTTATTAACTCAGCTTCGCGTGTGTTTGTTGTTAAAATTGACATCGAAAATTAACCCACTTCTGATTGCTCAATAGATCTGAAATTTGGCATGTAGGCTACTTTCGCCTAACAATTTCAGATGCAATCATAAAAACTAGCAATTAGAGACGGTAATTAGCTTAATTTAATTACGCCCCAAGGACCATAAAATTGAGGACATGATTTCTAAAGATACCGACAAGACTGGAGGCTTATAGACACAGTTACTTCGGCCCCAATCGATGTGAGCGCGCTGGCCGTGATCGTATAGTGGTTAGTACTTCGCGTTGTGGCCGCGACAACCCAGGTTCGAATCCTGGTCGCTCAAGATTTTTTTAGTCCGTGTATTTATAAACACTTAGTCAATTCATACTTAATCAAGTCATTAGATAAAGTAGAAAATAAACTATATAAAAAACTTTTTTAAAAACCACGTTTTTCATGTGTAGCAACGGACTAAAAAGGAGAAAATAAAATACTTAAAAAAAACTTTTTAAAAAACCACGTTTTTCTTGTGGACTAAAAAGTAGAAAATAACTATTTACATACATTTGATGACAAAAAACGTGGGTCGGGCAGATGGGTCGGGAAATTTGATGGTGAACGTACCCACGTTTTTTGTCATCAAATGTATGTAAATAGTTATTTTCTACTTTTTAGTCCACAAGAAAAACGTGGTTTTTTTAAAAAGTTTTTTTTAAGTATTTTATTTTAAACAATGGAGACTACTTATACTCTCTACGTAACTCGCACTGAATACAAAATAAAAATGTATACAATGGAACAAAGTGAGACCCATTATCACATGTAATACAGTTGTATTTGTTCGCATTTAGTTGGTTGTTAGCCGAAAGTTTACATGTAGTTGTGCTGAATCGCATATGTGTTGAGCACTTATCACAAACGTAGTTTTTTGTAAAACGGATTTTAAATGGGGGGGGGGGGGGGTGAGAGTGGCAGTGGCGTAGCTAGGTCTGGTCTCACCCGGTGCGGCACTTACTGGTGTCACCCCCCAGAGGCATAGCGACCCTTCCCGGGGATATACTTTCATTTTTCGATTTGCACCTCACCTCAATCTTTCGATTTGCACCTCTTAAAAGACTATTTAACACTCGAATTATCCCTTAATTAAGTGGAATTATCATTTATCTCTATATATTTTGCTATTTTTTGCCTTGGTGTCACCCCCCTAAATGGTGTACCCCCGCCCTCCACTTCGCTACTCCACTGGGGAGTGGCTAACGGGGATGGATTAATGTTAAAAGGGTTCTAAGCTGTAAATGATACAGGGATTCTCAAACTATAACATAGTTGAGCGACTTATAATTTGTTCAAAGTTGGGTTAAAGGACTGAACAAGCATAAGAGGACATAAAACATCGATCTCATTCTTAAGTTGAAGTTGCTTTTTAAACGTTTTCTGTACAAATCGAGAGGGTTAGTGTGGGATTGATGGAGGGGGGGGGGTGGTGAGATGGGTCAGGGTGGGTGAGATTAGGGGTTGGTGAGATGGGGTTGGGTGATATTAGGGGTGGGGGACATGGGGTTGGGTGAGAATAGGGGTGGGGGAGGTGGGGTTGGGTGAGATTAGGGGTGGGGGAGATGGGGTTGGGTGAGATTAGGGGTGGGGAGGTGGGGTTGGGTGAGATTAGGGGTGGGGGAGATGGGGTTGGGTGAGATTAGGGGTGGGGAGGTGGGGTTGGGTGAGATTAGGGGTGGGGGAGATGGGGTTGGGTGAGATAAAGGGTGGGGGAGATGGGGTTGGGTGAGATTAGGGGTGGGGGAGGTGGGGTTGGGTGAGATAGGGGTGGGTAAGGTAGGGTGTGAGATGGGTTAGGGGCGGGAGAGATGATGGTGGTTTTGATGAAGGATGGGTGAGATGGGAGTGGGTCAGATGGGGGCAGGGGGGGGGGCTCTTGAATCATGCCAGTTAACATCTTCTCAACCTGCCCCTCCCCCTATGATCCCGACCCGAGTCGCCCATGCACGCAGATTACAGTACTCACCCTCGCCTGCACGCTGAAGCTCTGGAGTGACGCAATCACCGCCTGAAACCGGTAGGGGAGACAACAGGGACTGGGGCGGTGGCTGTCACGTGATAATGGCCGCCTGTCGCTGGCCACGGCGGAAGTGACGTGTACGGCAGGCAGCAGCAGCAGGCAGACTGTCAGGCAGCGTGTCGTTAGGCGGACAGCTGTTCCGGCCATGGGGTCTGTAATTCCGGGCTGTCAGATGAGACTAGACAAATTGTGTTGGGTTAGGGTTAGGTTAGTGTTAATACTCCCACGACCAAACACCGTAATACTGATCTAACTTTAGACACTAGACAAATTGTTTTGGGTTAGAGTTAGGTTAGCGTTAACACTCCCACGACCAAACACCGTAATACTGATCTAACTTTAGACACTAGACAAATTGTGTTGGGTTAGAGTTAGGTTAGCGTTAATACTCCCACGACCAAACACCGTAATACTGATCTAACTTAGACACTAGACAAATTGTGTTGGGTTAGAGTTAGTTTAGCGTTAACACTCCCACGACCAAACACCGTAATACTGATCTAACTTTAGACACTAGACAAATGTGTTGGGTTAGAGTTAGGTTAGCGTTAACACTCCCACGACCAAACACCGTAATACTGATCTAACTTTAGACACTAGACAAATTGTGTTGGGTTAGAGTTAGGTTAGCGTTAATACTCCCACGGCCAAACTCCGTAATACTGATCTAAATTTAGACATCAGACAAATTGTGTTGGGTTAGGGTTAGGTTAGCGTTAATACTCCCACGACCAAACACCGTAATACTGATCTAACTTTAGACACTAGACAAACTGTGTTGGGTTAGAGTTAGGTTAGTGTTAATACTCCCACGACCAAACACCGTAATACTGATCTAACTTTAGACACTAGACAAATTGTGTTGGGTTAGAGTTAGGTTAGCGTTAACACTCCCACGACCAAACACCGTAATACTGATCTAACTTTAGACACTAGACAAATTGTGTTGGGTTAGAGTTAGGTTAGCGTTAACACTCCCACGACCAAACACCGTAATACTGATCTAACTTTAGACACTAGACAAATTGTGTTGGGTTAGAGTTAGGTTAGCGTTAACACTCCCACGACCAAACACCGTAATACTGATCTAACTTTAGACACTAGACAAATTGTGTTGGGTTAGAGTTAGGTTAGCGTTAACACTCCCACGACCAAACACCGTAATACTGATCTAACTTTAGACACTAGACAAATTGTGTTGGGTTAGAGTTAGGTTAGCGTTAACACTCCCACGACCAAACACCGTAATACTGATCTAACTTTAGACACTAGACAAATTGTGTTGGGTTAGAGTTAGGTTAGCGTTAACACTCCCACGACCAAACACCGTAATACTGATCTAACTTTAGACACTAGACAAATTGTGTTGGGTTAGAGTTAGGTTAGCGTTAACACTCCCACGACCAAACACCGTAATACTGATCTAACTTTAGACACTAGACAAATTGTGTTGGGTTAGAGTTAGGTTAGCGTTAACACTCCCACGACCAAACACCGTAATACTGATCTAACTTTAGACACTAGACAAATTGTGTTGGGTTAGAGTTAGGTTAGCGTTAACACTCCCACGACCAAACACCGTAATACTGATCTAACTTTAGACACTAGACAAATTGTGTTGGGTTAGAGTTAGGTTAGCGTTAACACTCCCACGACCAAACACCGTAATACTGATCTAACTTTAGACACTAGACAAATTGTGTTGGGTTAGAGTTAGGTTAGCGTTAACACTCCCACGACCAAACACCGTAATACTGATCTAACTTTAGACACTAGACAAATTGTGTTGGGTTAGAATTAGGTTAGCGTTAACACTCCCACGACCAAACACCGTAATACTGATCTAACTTTAGACACTAGACAAATTGTGTTGGGTTAGAGTTAGGTTAGCGTTAACACTCCCACGACCAAACACCGTAATACTGATCTAACTTTAGACACTAGACAAATTGTGTTGGGTTAGAGTTAGGTTAGCGTTAATACTCCCACGACCAAACACCGTAATACTGATCTAACTTTAGACACTAGACAAATTGTGTTGGGTTAGAGTTAGGTTAGCGTTAACACTCCCACGACCAAACACCGTAATACTGATCTAACTTTAGACACTAGACAAATTGTGTTGGGTTAGAGTTAGGTTAGCGTTAACACTCCCACGACCAAACACCGTAATACTGATCTAACTTTAGACACTAGACAAATTGTGTTGGGTTAGAGTTAGGTTAGCGTTAACACTCCCACGACCAAACACCGTAATACTGATCTAACTTTAGACACTAGACAAATTGTGTTGGGTTAGAGTTAGGTTAGCGTTAATACTCCCACGACCAAACACCGTAATACTGATCTAACTTTAGACACTAGACAAATTGTGTTGGGTTAGAGTTAGGTTAGCGTTAACACTCCCACGACCAAACACCGTAATACTGATCTAACTTTAGACACTAGACAAATTGTGTTGGGTTAGAGTTAGGTTAGCGTTAACACTCCCACGACCAAACACCGTAATACTGATCTAACTTTAGACACTAGACAAATTGTGTTGGGTTAGAGTTAGGTTAGCGTTAATACTCCCACGACCAAACACCGTAATACTGATCTAACTTTAGACACTAGACAAATTGTGTTGGGTTAGGGTTAGGTTAGCGTTAATACTCTCACGACCAAACACCGTAATACTGATCTAACTTTAGACACTAGACAAATTGTGTTGGGTTAGAGTTAGGTTAGCGTTAACACTCCCACGACCAAACACCGTAATACTGATCTAACTTTAGACAAATTGTGTTGGGTTAGAGTTAGGTTAGCGTTAATACTCCCACGACCAAACACCGTAATACTGATCTAACTTTAGACAAATTGTGTTGGGTTAGAGTTAGGTTAGCGTTAATACTCCCACGACCAAACACCGCAATACTGATCTAACTTTAGACAAATTGTGTTGGGTTAGAGTTAGGTTAGCGTTAATACTCCCACGACCAAACACCGCAATACTGATCTAACTTTAGACAAATTGTGTTGGGTTAGAGTTAGGTTAGCGTTAATACCCCACAACCAAACTCTGTAATACTGATCTAACTTTAGACAAATATTTGGAATGGAGTTTGATCTGGATTCAAGCGTTATTCTAGATGGAGAAAAAGGTGGAAGTGGGAGGTGGTGGGGGAGGTAAAAAAATGAGATATAATACGAACATTAATTATTTAAACACTAAAAAAAACACAATCTAAATGTTTAATCAGGGGCGGAACTACAGTGCCGCCAGACCCCGCAATGCGGGGGGGGCCCACGCCATTTAGGGGCCCACGGCCGACCATAAAAAAATTGTTATAGTTAAAAAAAATTACTTGCATTTTTGACTTGATGTTTGTTTTGTAAAAAAGATTACCGTAGCTGCGGTTGGATTATCTTTATTCTATAGACACCACCCCACGCTAATTTTTCCTTCGTTTTTAAACCTCTGTGAAAGCCGAGTCCTCTTTCTCGTACAATCAAACTCATCAAAGATAAGCAAACGTTCAAACCACTTCCGTGACTTATTTCCCTTTTTAAATAGTCAAATAAGGGTGCTCATAAGCTCCTTTTAATCGATGTGTACTAAACAAATTAAAAATCAATTACTTCTCTTCATTGTTATTTGTTTATAAATTACTTACTAAGATGACACAGTATAAAAAGAATATGTATTTAAAATTAATAATATAAATGCAAAAAAAACATAAAAATAAACATGACACGAGACACCATTATTTACAGAAAGCTTTCATGTTATATATTCTTTTGACCGATAAGATGTTTGAGGTATTACAGCAGAGATAATATAAAACTGATTTTTCACAAAACAGACTAATTTAAAGTGAGGTAGTCTAGTTCTTATGCCATTTTATTTTCTCCATTTGATTATTATATATGCAATTGATGTTCATGTCCTTGATGCTGTGTAAAATCTATCAAATAAATTATTATTACTGAAAAAAAAAAAAAAAAAAAAAAAAAAAAAAATGTAAAAGAGAGGAAAAAAAAAAGACTAATGCACTTACACATATGACATGATGTTGTAATTTTTTTTAATTAAAAAAAAACAACCCCGGGTATTTCTCAAAACACGAACAGGCCAGCAATGAGTATCCTATGTTCGTATTTTGTGTTTGAGTATAATATTATATACGAGCCGACCCGCAGCGTATCATACGCCGCTATTTAGTTGTTTTATTTTCTACTTTTCAGTCATTCATAATGTGTGAATTCGACAGTACCAATGCTGCCACTGAAAATATTTGCTTTAAAACACTAACCCCCCCCCTTTCCCCTAACCCCGACCCTCCCCCCCTCCCCCCCCCCCCCCCGTGAAAGCAGCCTCCTCTTAGTTATTTCTTAGTTACCTCCTGTAAGTTTAAAATCGAACTAAATTATCTGCCCCTAATAGAAACCCGGCTCTACGATTTGTAAACATTTAGCTTTGTAAACATTTAGCGTGACCACAACTTACCAGACAATGTGGGGGTGGGGTGGGGGTGGTAGTGATAGAGAGAAAGAGAGGGGACTGCAAGGAGGCGCTTGCAGCTTGTTTTCTAACGGCTCCCAGAAGAGAATTATATATATATATATATATATATATATATATATATATATATATATAATATATATTATATGGGGGGGGGGGGGGGGCCTAAAAAAATGTTTGCGGGGTGGCCCTTTTTTTCTAGTTCCGCCACTGTGTTTAATCATATTTTTCGACACTAATTAAGAGTGTATTACTTAAAAGAATCCAACCACACCACTATGGGGTAATCCATGATTGAAATTAATTGTTTTAAACGATTTCTATCCCCCTTCCCATACCCGCGTCAAACGTCGTTAAAAAAATATACCCCTCCCTAGAATGACTTTATACCTAAACCTACAACCCCCTCTCCTTCAAAAATGTAATTTAAAAAAAAAAGGTTTCTTTCTAAAATATTCGATGAGTTTGGTCAACAAAAAGTATAATAATCGATTTATATTACCATTTACAAAAAAAAGTTTTCAAAAACGCTAAAAAACCCGGCTAAAATTCAATTTAATTATAACCTTTTTGTTCTTTTAAAAAAAAGCAAGTATGACGTCAAACTATCTGAACACACCCTCCCTCATTACACAACTTTACAAAATTATGTCCTACCAACGAATGTGACGTCTTTTAAGGAAGACCCCCTAATACTACATTCGTTGATGCTTGTAAAGATATGGTAGTGAATGCTAATCAGCCCTATGTAAAAAAAAAAAAAAAAAAAAAAAAAAAGCCAAACGAAATCACCGGCAGAAAATGTAATTACTAATAATAAAAAAACAACAAATCAGCCACCGTCTATGTACTCTGCATAGATCAAACACACAACGGTACAACACTTATTGATCTTCCCATTTTATCACTTCTGTTAACAAATGTATTTTGTTCGCCCTATAGCAGTCGGCGACAAACTCCAAGCTTAGCTGCTAATGAGATTAAAAAATATTAAGTTACACTGTCTGAAGGGGGGTGAACAAAAAAATATTCTGGAATTACAGACAAATAAAAAACAAAATGCCGGATATTTGGGGGTCTGGAAACGTAACGTATCATTAGATATGGCATTCAGATACAAGCCTCGCATCTAAGTTAAATATGGCGTAATAAAATGGCATTTGTTTCCAGGAATAGCTGCAGGCGGATGTTGTTTTTGTGTACTTGTCGCCGATGCTAGATCGGTGATTGTGGCTTATTGTAGGAGCGCTCACAACGCGTAATAAAGAAACACGCATTTTGTTTTCTAAAATCGTCTAAAATCTAAAAAAAAATAAATAAAATAAAATAAAAAAAATGATAAAAAAAAATTAAAAAGATTTACTTTGATCACATAATGTTAATCTGGATCATGAGTAATTTACATAGTTTAAATTTTCTGAATAAAGCGACCGCTGGAAATCAATACATTGCTAGAAAAAAAAATCACATGTAAAAGGGGTCAAGGCTAAATCAGTGTCCTATGCATAATGAAAAGCCTCGCGTATAATTATGTTTAAATACATTTTTATTGCAGAAAGAGTGGGAAAAAAAGTCTAGAATTTACATATTCTTTTACAAAAAATAAATATAAATAAAACATTAGTGGTGTTAAAATAAAATTACACAAAGATATTTGAAAAAACATGAATAAGAACGACAACTCTCAATCCGTGAAAAGGGCGTTTACTCTTTGTCAGGCTTAAAGGGAAAGAAATAACATGTTAAAACCGTCATTTTAAAGGTCACGAAAAAGAAAGGTAGAGAAAAGACAACAGAAACCTTTAAAAAGTATATATTTGATTATAAAATTATCAACGGATGAAATGCATTACCTTGTTGAAATAAGTACGGTAAGAAAATCTAATACAAATATTGGAATATCGAGGATGATTCAACTGTTTTGATTTGAAAGGTCCGCTGTTGAAGGAAGATTTCACACAGGCACGAGCAACGAGTTAATTACAGGAGACATCTGTTGTTTCACACACACCGTCTGATTACACAGGCAAAACACGGACTAGGCTGGGTCATCATTGTTGACATTAGTGTGTCGGTGTGTCGGTTACAGGCGGTCTACAGACACTGGCAGCTATTGTTGACATTAGTGTGTCACTGTGTCGGTTACAGGCGGTGTACTGCGTATGGACACATGCAGCGATTGTTGGCATTAGTATGTTGTTGTATCATTGTGTTGGATATAGGAAATATACGTAGACCAGCAGTGATTTGTACATACACAGGAAGTGATTGTTAACATTAGTGTGTCGGTGTGTCATTGTGTCGAATCATTGCAATATACATAGACAAGCAGTGATTGTTGACATTAGTTTGTCGGTGTGCCATGGTATCGGACATAGGGAGTATACGTATACAAGCAGTGATTGTTAACATAAGTGTGTCATTGTGTCGAATAAATACAATATACATAGACAAGCAGTGATTGTTGACATAGGTGTTTGGGTGTGTATTGGTTGTAGACAATTCTGTGTCGGTGTGTCGGTCAGAGGTTGTGTACAGACACTGGCAGTGATTGTTAACTGATGTGTCGGTATGTCATGTCGGATATAACCAGTATACATAGACAGGCAGCGAGTGTCGGTATTAGTGCGTCAGTGTGTCGGAGTGTCGGGCAGAGGCCGACACAGGCAGAGATCGTTGACAGCAGTGTGTCGGATTGAGACGAAGTTCAGACACACAAGAATGGAAGTAGCTAAACCGACGGTGTGTGGCTGTGTCTGAAAGAAATGAAATAGACACACAGACACAAGACAGGAGCCTCAGAATTGTGATTGTTGAGTTTAGTTTGTTAGTGTGTCTAAGATTGACACAGTGATGGTGACGAAAACGAGGCCGCCTTAGGGCGTTATATCTGGTCATGTGAGAGCTACTGTAATTAAAACAACATCAGATAATTACGTGTCTGATTGTGTGTGTGGTGGGGGGGGGGGGGGGAGGAGGTTATGGTTGATGTCAACATGACAGAGGTGAGGAGTAACACGCTGTTTTGTTATGGTAGCCAGACAGACAGACAAAGAGACAGACATAGATAGACAGGTACACACATGCATTTTTTCAAGCGGCAGATGGGTTAGCGGACAAAGAGACAAACGTACCGACAGATGGATAAACAGACAGTACACCAGCTGGCATATGTAATCTCTGTATTAGCTTAAATAAGCCATCACATGGTAGTTTAGTAAACTTTGTAAACCACATTTAATCAATTTAATATAATGCACTGGAAAAATGCAAAAACGGAAAAATTCCTAATACACGATAATTTTTTCACATTTCATGAAAAAAAATTGTTTTTGAGCTACAATGTACAAGTGCTTATTCTGTGTTTATTTTGTTCGCAGTTTTTCGTTTCGCAGTTTTCTAGTCACTGTTTCTACACAGGTAAAGGTTTGGATTCTATATCACTCAAATTGCGCATTGCAGAGTATCAGCTGAAAAATCCCCCGTAACTCCTGTATCCAAAAAGAACGGACAGTGTTTCTTCCAAACTTTTTTCTCCGGGGGGAGGGGGGGCACTTGAAATTTTCGGGGGGGGGGCGGTAGACTTTCTTTGGGGGGGGGGGTGGACACTGTTAAAAGTATATATTTTCTATATAAATTTCATTTCGTTCGGGGGGCATTAGACTTTCTTCGGGGGGGGGGGGGGGGGGGGGGCCCGAAGAGATGCCTGGAAGAAACTCTGGGAACGGAGTTCTCCCCCTTCAATCGTCTGTTGACACAAGTTCACTCCGGATAGTTTGCCTTTTTCTGACTTTTGCATATGACGTTATGCTGTGCTCAGTTCTATTCACTACCGACGTGATGAATATAGTTGACTTTTAACTTTTAACTAGAATACCCGTCATCCGTTGGATAACTGTGGGCTTCGGGGGTCATCCATCAAAAAACATCACGTCTGTCACTCAGAGGCATAGCGACCCTTCCCGGCGCCCGGGGACAAACTTTTCGATTTGAACCCCCCCCTCAACCTTTCAATTTATTTTTCCAAACCATTTTAGCGCCCCAACATATGTCCCCCCCCCCCCGCCTCCCCTCCCCCCCCCCGCCTCCCCTCCCCTCCCGCCCCCCCTCCTCGCTACGCTACTGCAGTGTCACTTATCGTCACAAAAACAGACCCCACATTCAAAAATATGTTTTTTATCTTTTAAAAACACCGAAAACAACGATTTCGGACTATCCCTTCATATACTGACGTCACAGGTGACCTACTCAACTCTACTTCACCTGCCCAGTGTCCCGCCAAGTCTCAGACAACAAAAACTATTCCAGCCGAGCATGTCTCTGACCACACTATCCCTTAATTTGCTTAGGACAAAGAAACAGATGAACCCTACTTCACCTGCCCTGTGCCCCGCGAGGTCCTGATAGTCAACCTTATCATTCACATATAGGGCTTAAGAAAAAATAATTGAAAACGTAAAAAAAAAAAAAGTTCTATTAATGTTTATGACACTGACTTTAAAATTTAGCCTTCATTCTCCAAAGCAAATTTTAAAATGCTTTTCTGGCATATCTAGCCCTGGCCACCTATACAATGTTTAAATAATGTGAACACCCGCCATTTTGTTCGTGGTAAACATGGCCTAAAAATGATCGGCAGACATGCGTCCGGTCCGTACGCCATATTGTTGTTAGCAGCCGACCACGCCTCCAAGCTAGTGAGTAATCCTACTTTATCTAGATATAGAACGTAGATAACAAAAAAAGCCCATGTATTCTCGAATTAGATGATCATTGAAGCTAAACAAAGATTTATATAAAATAATTAAGGCCCGAAATAGATTCTAGATGTAGAATTTACATTAATCTAGATCTAGAATTTACATTGAGTCTAGTGACCTAGATCTAGATCTAGGCCCTAGGCTAGATTCTAGATTCATAACTTTCCTTCGACAGCAGATCTTTAGATCTAGAGAAATTTATTGTAAAACTAAATGAAAAAGACAGTTGAAAATTGATATAAGTGTTGGAACGTAATAAATACAGCAAACGGACGTATTGTTAAAGTTAAAGCCGACAGAAAATTAGCTTCAGAACGCGTTAAACATTGGAATGGGAACACAATCTTCTTCGATAGGCCGCCATTATCGATGTAAAAAAATAAACACATCATGTGACGTCACTGTTTCCGTCGAGTCTAGTGGCTTTTCAAATCTTTTTTTAAAAAATGGGTTAATCTGCATATGAATAAATCAATTAATTAATTAACGTCTTTAAATAAATTTGTGATCAACAGTCTGTCTGCATTAAAAAATTATTCTCTACCTGCATACCATTTTACAGCTTTCCAGATAGAGTCGAACATATCACAATTTTCGATCAGGCAAACAAATAAATATTCAAACATGTAAACAAACTTGACTTTTAGTAGTATATATAGATAACAGCGTGTACGGTCTGGCTTCTAGGAAACACCACTCACCACTACGCCACACTCTCCCCGACACGACAGCATCTACTCCTACACGACACACACCTATACAACATTGTACCGTACACGTCAGCATCCAACCCATTCGCCCCTACACGACACGCCCCGACAGGAAACTCTTACCACGACGCAACTGTAACTTGAGATCAAGAAAATCCGGGACAAGTTTTTAAGTTGCCGTCTGACGATTACATCGACGCCATATTTCTGCATCGATTTTTAAAAAAAACGGGCCGCGCATTGAAGAGCCGATTCCCCGCCCCGATAAAAGAAAAGCTAATTTGAATTGAGAAATAAGGCACGGTGACGTCACAGAACGAGCAGAAGGGAGACACTCATACAAGCTGACAGACTAAATATTAGCGCATGCGCCGTGGGATGAATGCCTTCAAACGCGCACGGTCCAATAAACTATCGGCCATAGGACGATCGATATATTACACAAATAGTGCGACTTTTTAATATAAGGATTCATCTTAAAGGAAAATAGTGGCACATTGTTTCGGAAGTATTGCTTTGGTAGAATAAAATATATTTCTGTATCAGATTGGCATGTTTTGTACTAGAACTTAGAAGTAGTGTTTTCTTTTGTTCAGTTTTTCTGTTTATTTCTCCGAAATTTCTAAATAAAGTTAATGAAAATAAAACCAGTTTTATGAAAAAAAAATCCTTGATTTCATTCAACATTTTAAACTTTTAAGCACACGTATATCTCTACGTCGTTTTTTTTTTAAATGTCTTATGCGGATGTATATTTAACAGGGAGTATCAATACAGAAGGCTTAACTTCAAATGAATGTAGTGAGGGTTACTTTTAGAGTTGGGATTACTTTTACAAGTTGAGATGTAGATTTATTTGTAATATTGATACTAGTGAATGTTTGATTGAAGATTGCCGATAACCATATCGACAATTTTATTTTAAGGCCATGTTAATGAAATATCCAACTAAATAAAATTGTTACACAAATGTAGACTTTTATATGTTTATATGCTTAAAAAATAATATTTAAAAAGTTAGAAACATGGACATTGTTGCCTAAATAATCCTCGTAAAAAAAAAGAAAAAAAAAATCCTTCGGTATTTTGACATACTAATTAGATAACTAACAGACCCTATAACGTTGGTAAAAGTCGAATCATAATTAAGAGAAAAAAAAAAGAAAAAAAAAAACCCGAAAAGATTGATGCTGTAACGTCTAAAGGGAGACAATAAAACGTACAAGCCGCTGACAAGGGGAGGTAATTGGAAGAGGTGAGCCTCACTGTCCTGTCTCCCCCTGTACGTCAGTGATGGCTCGGGGTGAAATGGATGCAGATGGATTTAGATTTTATGATCCATCGTATCCACGAAATGATGGACAAAGTTGCAGAATTTGCTTAATGATTTTTTATTGTTCTTGTATAATATCGATTCAATCCAGACAAAACGGTATAAATGATATTATGTGATGCACAAGTTTTTTATTATATATCGCTCGATCAGCGAGAAGTTATGGAAGTGGTGAGGAGAAGAGGGGGTGGTCTCTATACCAGCCTCGTTTTCTTAATCTC